TCCTCATTTGAGTTAACGTATAGTGGTTTTTTGTGTGTTTTTGTTTGTTGCTCACAGAATTAGTTGTAACACTGGCGTCTATCTTTCCAGAACGGAGCTTGTGGCCGACAAAACCAAATGTAAGAGAAAGAAAGAACTCACCAAGGATCAGAAACATGAAATTAATGAATCCCTCAGTTGTTGGAACACTGACAAAGATAAAGAAATTGATTACCACAAGTTGAAGGTAGCAACAGAGACAAACACCAAGCCATAAAGTCTGAGGAGCTCTCTGTAGACCTCCGTGATAAAATTGTGGCGAGGCATAAATCTGGCAAGGCTATAAAACCATTTCTTAAAGCTTTGAGTGTTCCCAGAGCACAGTGGCGTCTATAATAGTGAACATGGAAGAAGTTTGGAACCACAGGACTCTTCCTAGAGTTGGGCGTCCGGCAAAACTGAGTAACAGGGCAAGAAGGGCCTTAGTCAGGCAGGTCACCAAGAATCCAACGGTCACTCTAACAGAACTTCAGAAGTTCACTGTAGAGATGGGAGATCCAGCCGGAAAGACGACCATCTTAGCAGCTCTCCACAAATCAGGTTTTTATTGTAAAGTGAAAGACAGAAGCCACTCTGAGTAAAAGACACATGACAGTCTCCTGGAGTTTGTCAAACACCGTTTAAAGGACTCAGAGGAGATTCTCTGGTCTGATGAGACAAAAACTGAACCCTCTGGCAGAACTCCAAACACCAGGTACTGCTCATTACACCAGCCCTACAGTGAACATGGTGGTAGCAGGATCATGCTATGGGCGGGGGGGGGGGGACTGGTCAGAACTGAAGGAAGGATCAATGCAGCCAAATAAAGAGAGATACTTGAAGAAAACTTCCTCCAGAAGTCCATGTGACCCGAGACTCGGACGACAGTTCATCTTTCAGCACACCAATGACAACATGCCAAAGTTCTAGACCTAAACCCGAGGGGCCTGAAGATGGCAGTTGAGACGCTTCACATGAAGTCTTGACAGGAAGAAAGAATGAAATAAACTGCCATATCAGGTGTGAAAAACCTGTAGAGATTTTAACCAAGAAGACATGAAGCTGTAACTACTGCCAAAGCAGCTTCCCAATTTCCTCGATTACTGGTCTGAAATACTGTAGTAAATGGTAGATTTAAGTTTTTGATTTTTTTTTTTTTTAAATAAAATTGCAAAACTTTCTAAACATGTGTTGACTTTTTTCATCAGATCGATAGATAGATAGATATATATGATAGATAGATAGATATAGATAGATAGATAACAATAATAGTTGAACAGTAATAATTTATGGATAAAATGGAAATACAATCGACAAAAATTGTAATTTTTATTAATTTACAATTAAATCTGCAACATAAAAGGTGCAAAAAGTTTGAATAATTTCTGAATGGTACTTTCACCTTAGTTGGTTTCTCAATAAAGTTTGTTGAAAAAGAAAAAAAGAAGCCATGAGTAAAACCAATCAGACAACACTTTGCTGCTTGCCCGGTAACAGCCGACCAATGGAGGCTTCTGAGGGAGCGCGGAATAAACGTATCTGTTGTGTGCCGGTTCCTGGCTTCTCTGTGTTTTAACGTTGGATTTTAAGGTTTTATAAATCTCCAAATCCACGACAATGAGTCTGTCTCTGAGGTAAACCGTCTGACTCCAACCGCTCTCTTCATTTTCTCCGTTACAGTTCATTTTAAAGCGCTAGCAGTAGCACGAAGGCTAGCTCCTTCACGTTACTCGCGTTAGCACGGCTGGCTGTTTGAAAAACAGAAACATCCCAAAATTAGCTCATTTCATGAAGTTACAGTTTGGAAGTATGTTGGTGTCAAGGCCGGTTTTTTTTGTTGTGCCTTTTTTTAAGTTTAAAGTGAATCCTCTTGTCCTTTCAAATGTTTTTTATTGTCGCTCTGTATCACTTTACTTGTTGGCTAGACTCCTTCTACATTAACAAGGACAGCATAAAAGACTATAAAACTATTTCAAATTTGTAAAATATTCGCTCTATTTGTGAAAACATATCAAATATAGACTACATTATCCCAAAAAAGTTAAAGATTGTTTAAAAACACAATTTCAGAGTTGCAAAACTTTTATTCTATTTGTGAAAACTGAAGTTGGAACAACAACTCAGGGACTTGTCGATGTTTGGTTGATGCTGGGAACTTTTGATAAACGGTACAAATTCACGTATTGCATATAATTCTTTATGCTAAGTGTTAATATAATAATTTGTATTGGGTTGTAACCATTAGGTGCTGTCAACATAGAATGAGTTGG